ACAGAGAGATAGTCCCTAAGCTTCTGCTCTAAAACCAACAAAGCAAACCTTCCCAGGGGCCATTTGAAGGATGCCAGCACCTGCCCCACCTGGACACTGCTGACTGCAAGCATAAAGAGAACTGTTTCAGAAGGCCTGTGCAGTGGAATCTGCTCCCATAGGCAGTATTCTACCTGCCTCCCTGTGGACCTCGTAGTTCAGGCCTCTGAAATCAACAGGACAGACCTCTCTGGGTATCAGTGGGTCTGTCTACTATCCCTTACAGTTGGCACTAAGGACTGCTGAGGTTGCTATGTGCTAGGAAGCAGGCATATTGAGTGAAGGCTACAACCACAGCCAACATAGTATAGGTTGGCTCTGACAGAAACAAGGCGGATTCCCTTGGGTGTCCATTTGGAGTATGATCATCCCTCTCCCAACTGCGAACTGTTCCTGTTGGACTGATACGAATCCTTATAGAAGATACCCTACTGTGGAGTCATTAAGTGAGTCACCTTAGTAGAGACTGTTCCCCCATCACCACAGGGGCTCTGAAAACAAGACAGACCTCTCAGAGATCCCTTTTGGAGGGTGCCAGCCACTCTTCCTCCTGAAGTGAAGTCTGCCTGTATTTCCTCTGAATGCCAGCTCAGATATAAGCAGCCCCACAGAGGAGAGAAAGAAACCTTGGGCAAAACTGGACAGCAACACTCAGCCCTGAAGAGGGGTCACTGGGTGTAGGTTCTCCAACTAAAAAAGTGACTGCAGAAACAGAGAGGGTAAGGGAGTAATAACCAGAGAGGGGGGTTGTGCCCTCTCACAGACTGGTAACAGTGTGTTTGAGAAGGAAAGAAAGTTGAAAAACAAGATCTGGAACTCTTGAATCTCAGTTAAACCAGAGAGGGTGAAGGAGCTATCACAAACAAGGAGAAGAAACAGGTTACCAAAGGCTGAAGGCTCTGCCCATCTAATAGTATCTTGCATAAAGTAGTGTGGGGAAAACTGAGAAAGGTAACACCCTCAAAAATTCCAATGCTCCATTGAGGATGAGAAAGACATAGAGAGGTACATGGGAAGTACAGACAACAAATATGAACCCTTTTGCATATATAGTACTGAGTTGTAAGTGAAGGCAAACATGGGTATATGGATGGATAGATAGGTGGACAAGCTAAACGATTAGTTATGTCTATGAAATGGGGAGTGTATCCAAGAT